CTGTATTACTAAACTAAAATTAGTGCTGATCATGGGTTTGTTTAACTGCGGAGGAAGATTTTATCATGTGACTAATTTATCTGATTTATCAGATCAGCTTGCTGTAACAATACATAATGCTAGATGTGCTTTATCTCTGATTCTTGCACTACAAAACATCTGAGAATTTTTTCTTGGCAAAAGTGGTCAGTGTTCTGTTTCAGCAATTTTTAAACTCGATATATAAAAGTTGTTAACAAACATGTCATCAGAGCTTGAATCTCAATCTGCTCAATCAAAAATCAATTCATTGCAAAAATTAAATTTGAAGTTTTTAGCTGAAATTTTTGAGCTTAGAAAGGAGAATGCTGAGGTCAAGGCTGAGAATACAAAATTGAAACAAGATAAAGAAGAAATCAATACCAGGTTTGTAAAACTAGAGCAGAAGGACAAAAAAAAGGTAGAGTAATGTTTGGGCTGTAATACAGAAACATTACAGTATATAGTTTTTGGTTTATGATGCTGTGCTGTGTTCCTAAAATACACACATGGTTTCTATGATAATGAGGCATCTGAGCAAACATTGGTACTGCAATCAGCACCCATGATGTGTTACCTAATTATAATATTAACTATTCATTTTTAGATAAAAAAAGAAAGTGCGATACTGAAAAACTGACTGGAGGAAGGGATTGTTTCTTCAAGAAAATCCAACAAGTCAACATACCTCCATCAGAGCTGGCAGATCCTAGAAAATTTAATAGATTCCAAAATGAAGAAGACCCTCTTGCCCTTAATTATCACCCAGCTCAGTTAACTGGTCTACCTGTCACATTATGTAATGACATCCTGGCTAAGTTCCAGGATAATGCTAATGGTAGCATTGAGTTGGTTGAAGAAGACATTAAATTCGTTCAGAACCTTTCATATGAGATGTGCTCCATTTTTCAAGATGAGGCTGAGAGGACAAATCATTTCCACAAACTAGCAGGTGAATATCTTGACAAGGTATTTGACAACTATGGCTTTGGAAATAAATGAGGAACAGATGGCAATCTTATTATTATGTTTAAAAAAGGTAGCTTCCAAGTACCTCTGTTGAACTTGGAGGTGAAACCAGAGCTTGGGATGGGAAATGGGTGCCCATATGTGCAATCAACTGCCTATTACGTAGAATTTATCAGGAAATTGAAAAACAGTAATAGCCCTGTAATTACCCAATCTCAATTTCCAGTATTCTTGATGTACTTGTGAACGATAAAATGTTCATGTGACTTTGCACTACCGAAATTAGAATTGCAAGTATTTCGAATTTCGGAATTCTAATACTTGTAGCACAAATTTAATCATATATATTT